TGAATTTGATTCAATGAAAACTCGGAGTGATGCAAAGTTGTTGCACTGCTGGAATTCACCAACGGGGTTTAACGAGTTGGAGTTCAAGGAGGTACCCATGTGGACAATTACCATGCCATCCAGCCTGCAATGCGCATGTCCATTGAATGGAATGCGCTTCGATTTAATGACTACACAGAGACACAGGCATGGGATTGCAAAGTTATGCAGAGTCCCATTCATACAACAAATGCTGTTGCGGTTGCTGCTGTTTCTATTCCCAATGCGCAGGAGTCGAACTCCATGATGCAAAGTGGTCGTCCAACCTAAAACCACGCATTTCTCGGTGTCAACCAGCCTTGTCTGCAATTTGTGTACTTTCATCACGTACCTTTCTCCGTCGTAGCAGCGTGACGCCTAGCGGTTGTGTAGACGACTTTTTTATCGTAGTCTTCCATCCTCACCGCTCGCACATCACCAGTTTGCTCTAGTAGTGATGGCGAATTTCGGTGCTGTAGGATCTGCTGAAGAAAGGCTGCAGCTGAGTCGGCGAATCCGAAGAACCGACCCACCCCGTTGGGGGCGCTGGCCTGGGTGGGCGGGTCTGCCTGATGTCGGTTGTTTGAGGCATCCCTGAAGAGGGGCGGGAAGCCTCTATGTGCGTCTCTGTATATGAGAAAAGCAGGTATCTCGGGAAGGTTGGAACCTGCTTCTGATTTCGTGTCCGTCAACTCAACAATTGCTTCACCCGCATAGCCCACGAAATCAGACACTGTAGGGAGGGGTTGTGGCGGTGGTTGTTCCTGTCTGATCGTGGCGACTCGTCGGTACAACGCTTGGAAATTTGTCAACGGCGTAGTCAGCAGCGTTGTGTGGGATTGTGAGATGCGAGCTACAGCAGAACACAGGGCTTTCGGCGAAAGTGTGTAATCAAACGTGGCCGATGCAAGTCCCTTCCTGAATGAAGTTTCACTCACTTGTGATGAGCTGCCTGTGAATTTTGAGTCAATAAACGCGCCACCGTCCTAGACTGACTGTCACATTCAAACGCGCCAACTACGGATTCGCCTTCCTTCTGCCATTCCTGAAGGGGTAAGTCGTGCTTGTATTTGGGGACTTGGAGAAACCATGAGGGTATCTGTGTGGGTGGTTGTTTCTGTTGAGCCCTGTTTCCTAATTGGCTGAGCCGTCGTAGTAACACGGGTAAGAATGTGGGTGGTTTGGAGAGCGTTCAGCCTACTTAAGTAGCTGTGAACGTTGAAACAATTGGGTATGACTTGTGGAGTGAGGTGGAATTCGGTTCGTGTGTAGCCAGGGTCATTTGATCAAAAGCGGTTTAATGTCAGATGGTAAACTGTACGTATAATGCTATTTACGTGTAACGTTCGAATACGTGAGGATCTTAAGATGCAAAAGTAAAGTATACTGAAATGGTAGTTAGTAATCTAGTAATTTAATGCTTGTGACACTTTGATTCGCAACGAGGCGTATGTGGTGGTTTTGTTTCGTTTAGTAAACACCGAGGGTGTGGCATTTGGATGTGGAGGTGGAGGCGGAGGTGATGCCAAGGCTGTTCACCGAGTGTTCCACCTCAACGGCCCTCCACGCGTGACCTCGCGGATTCGTCAGAGCCCGCTGTGTGTGTGGTGAGTGCACGCATCGAACCCGATTGGCACTGGTTAGTCGAGGAAGCCGTCGGCTGAAAGTTGTTGTAGCGACGACGGATTGAGATGGGAACGAGCACCACCGTGTCAGTCATTTTACTGTGAGGACACCGTGAAGAATAATAACTGTTAGCTGTGCTGTAACTTTGCCTTTTCAACATGTCTCGAATGCATGTTGGTAGTTAGGTTCACAAAGGTAGTCACGTTGCACCGTTTGCAGACAGGTAGAATGAAGGAGAGTCTGCAGTTGTTTGATGTCTGAGTTAAGTGGGGATGTTGAGGTGGCGAAATGTGGGGCCTAGTGGGGGTCGTTTGAGTCCGAGTCGAATGGGATTGTGTAGACTTGGAGAGTGGCACTTGATCACGCAGGCCTGTGCATGCCGGTTGACCTCTTAACTTTGTGCTACAACCAGATCCGACACGGAACATTTCGTCCGCAATCAACTGAAGGAAATGTTCTCACGAAGAGACACACAGTAGGCGTGGGTGCATGAGGGTGATGCCAGTTCTGGGAAATCTCTAGTTAGAACACCCCAGTTTGTAGGAAAATTTAGAAGAAGTACTAGTCCATGTGGTAGACTGCACAGTCGATGGCAGATGCTTGTTAAGTGGAAAAAACAGATCTAGTTGTGAAGTTTGGATGATAGGTATTTCGACCGCTGCACCGACGATGCGACAGAATTGGACTCGCGAAACCTTGGTTGGAGCACAGGTTCAGGCGAAAGTCAACAGGAACCACTGCCAAAAGAACAATCGACGACGACGATGACGCCGCCACCTCTACCTCCGCCCCTGGCAACGACAGCTTCTGCTTTCATGGGCCATGCGGTTGCAGCATTCGTTGAGTTGACACACAAGAACTCAGGAGAAGGTTTTAACGTTCCCGGGCAACTTGCTTTCCTCACATCAAAAGACGTCCATAGGGACTTCCCACCGCTCTTCAGAGATGCCTCAACCAACGGGCATCCGGCAGACCCGCCTACCCAAGACGGCGCCTCCAACGGGGTGGGTCTGTTCGTCGGATTCGCCGAATCAATTGCAGTCTCTTTTCAGGAGGTCCGAGAGCAGCCAAATTCGCCATCACCACTAGGCGTAACTGGTGATGTGTGGTCGGTGAGGTTCGAAGGCTACCATAAGGAAGTCTGTCGACGCAGCCGCTCGGCGCTAACGCTGCTACGATGTGAAAAGGTACGTGAATGAAGATGCACAAAATGCAAACAGGGCAAGTTAACACCTGGAATTGCGTGGCTGTTAGTTGGACGACCACCATGCATCATTTTGTTCGCCTCCTATGCATTGGGAATAGAAGCTTGGCAACAACAGTTGTTTCGTAAATGGGACTCAGGATACTCTTGCAATCCCAGGCTTCTATCTATGTGTGGTCATGGAATCGAAGCGCATTGCATTCAGTGGACATGTGCATTGCAGGCTGGATGGGATGGTGATTGTCCACGGAGGTTCCTTTTTGTACTCCAAATCTGGATGAAGCGCGATAGTGTAGTTCCATAACCCATTGGTGAATTCCAGAAGTACAACAGCTTTGCGTCACCCCGATTCTTCAGCAGTCGGAAACTATGTTCACTGCTACGATTCAAATCATAACTTGTGTTATATGCTATTTTAGGTTCTGTCAGCTCAATTCGACATGGAAAGGTCCACGTCTCGTGTCTGCGGTAGCCGCCTCACGGCTCCAGGTTGGTGGTGAAGCAAGCATTCCAGACGCGTCACCGTCTCCGGCACGCCCGACAGTTGTCTGCGCCATCGTGCTGGCACACTCACAAGACGTGGGTGGGCGAGTTTGTGTGTGCTCTGTCACTGCTCTTCGTCGACTGCCTCCACTCTCCTCTTCACTCCCCTAATCTACCTATGCTTGATAAACACAAAGTTCATTGTGTTCACCGTTGTTTGTTGGAAGCCAGTGTCGATCACAAGAATATGACTTGCTAAAAATGGTCAAAGAACCTTTTTTTGATGTTTGGGTTTGCTAAGGCATTGCGGTGGCAATTTTATGATCATGGGGGTCAGGTCGATTGTTGACGCAGTCTTACATTTTGTGGTAATACTTTACAATAGCTTGGTAAGTGTTAATAAGAAACGACCGTTGACCACAGCACCCGTGCTATGGAGTACTAAGGGCGATTTCAATGCTAATGTGCCTATTGACGTGCGCTACATGGACTGCATCGGTTTTACAAACATCACGGAGGTGTTAGGTTGCCTCGGTTTGGGTGTTTTCGTGAGTGAGAACCTACAGACTCGAGTTGTCTTAGCATTAGACATTCTTGGAGTTAAATAAGCGGAAGATGAAGAGCGCGCGTGTCAACCAGTGAACAGCGGTACGAGAATAAAAGATTCTCTGAAGAGTGGCAAGAATGCACCATCGGTTAGATAGTGTGCAGCAGAAACAAAGTGAGGAATATTTTAAAATGTCCTTCTCGTCAGGACGATTGCATGCAACATTTGAACTGAGTAGTTTGGTGGTACACGTGGTGGTGTAGTGATGTGCCATCGTACGCTCCCCGTCTTTGATGTAATTTGTCCAAATGCAGAGTAACTGCCTTTGGTCAAGTCGGAAATGCGATAACACGAACTGAGGAGTAGGTGTGATGTAGGAGCCTGTGTGGAGCAGGCCTCCTGTTATAACCTGACGGGAAAGCATGATGTGTTCATTCGCATTATTACGATGGATTGCCTTTTAATTTTGGTTGTCCTAAACTAAGACGAGGCATTCAGTTGACTCCTTCCAAAGCATTCTAATTCTGGTTCAAGTGGCTTGGATCTAATTTAGGGTGCTGTCAGAACACTTTTGCATTGTGTTTCAATGATGATGACAAAATGAACTTAAAACAACGGCTACCAAGGCACGGTAGTCAAGACATGCAGGAATCCATACAACCAGATCCGTGGGTCAACTATTCGACGCGCCATAGATAGTAGCCATGGCAATAACCAGTAACCAACATCCCGAATTTTACGACCTGTGACCTCGAACCGCATAGCGTGAGTTCACTGTTTATTACAAGAC